CTTGAAGTACGCTGTTAATGTGAACTTGGTAATTGTGTTCACAGTTTTTCTCTTGAAATATTCTAATGTCATGAGTGAAACATTTAATTGTACGTGCAGATGAATCTGTCAAATGTACACTACAACACGTAAGTATATATTTCTGTTCTCTGACAGTGATCACTTTTAATAGGTTGAAGTAATCAAGGTCCCAGTACCATAACGTCCTCAATAAAGGTGTCCCAAGTGAATGCATTTGTTGTTTTTTTCTTGATCTAAGTTGTCGGCATTTACCGCTGTTTTACTGCATATAGTGTGAGGTATTTGTGACCTGTTAGATTAAGTTAGTCTAGGTTAGTTTCTTTCACCCTGGCAGCCCGGTCTGAGGCCAGACTCCGGAATCAACATGACTTGGTGTCAGTGGCTCCCAGGTGTACATAGCCGTCACAGCCTGGCTGATCTGCGATGCTCATTTTCCTCGAGGGAGGCTGCTTGGCGCCGGCGAGGGACACGTGGTCCAAGGAATTGGACCTATCCTCCTTGGATTGAACCTAATTATCTTCCATTACCCATGCATTGTATGACCCCTACTGAGTTGCCCCCTCCCATAAATAATAATAGGATACCCATTTGACTAAGTGTGAATAATACCACCTATTCCTGGCATATCTCTTTTTCTTATTAATTTACTTAAGAAAACACTACGGCACTTCCTAATAATTTTTTTCTTTATCGAGCAAATACGCTGTATAATCGATGTCCTTGTGAAGCTCTCCTCATTTTGTACATAAAATGATGAACCCTTATGGATCCTTTAGATCAAGAACTTGGAGACTATCTCTCGCCTGCCGATAGCAAGACAAAGATTAATGTCTGTCATTACATCAATAGGATGCAGTACCAACAGATTAATGAATGAGATACATGTCCAACACTATAGTATCATTATTATAAAGATTCACAGGTGTTGCATATGTGTTTTATTAACATGACTGTCTATATTGTGAATATGTAAAGTCACCTGTCACTTGTCACCTGCCAGCAATAAGTAATGAGGTAACTGTCTGAGGTAAACTGTAGGTATCGGTCAAAGCATATGGTATGGTGATACAAAGTGTGGAAAAATACACCTGTTCACTCGTTAAGACTGAAGTCACATGTGGCGAAACGTTCCCTGCAATAAATGTCCTTAAGTGAGGTCTTTGTCTTCGCAAAACATAATCATTACATTCAGTGTTCAATGATCAGGATAAATGTTAAATCTTTTACATAAATTTATACTAGTGTGATCGAAATTTCTTACTGCCGACAATAATGAGCGAAAAAACACAGGTTTCAGAAGTTAATTTGGGACAACGTTTCTCTGTGTGTAGAGCTTTATAAACGACTGTAATATGTCCAATTATTTATAAAACATCTTATGTTTATGACTTGTAAAATTTCGTCTTCGAATTGTGTGTTAACATGTAAATTATGTTGATATCTTCAGCCGGTGACTAAACACTGAAAATATCTTTTAGTAAATTAGTTGATAAATAAGAAAATAAGCAGAAATAA